GCCTGTCTTGCAAGGTTGGGGAATTTCTCCTGGATAATGTCCTGAAGTGTGTTTTCCACCTCGTTTCCATTCTCCGTGTCTCCTTCTGGTATTCCAGTCAATCGTAGGTTCGGTCTTTTTGTGATGTCCCCTATTTCTTGGAAACTTTGTTCATTCCTTTTCATTCTTTTTGCATTTATTCTTGTCTTCACGTCTTATTTCAGTAACATGGTCTTCAAACTCTGATATTCTGTCTTCCACTTGTTAGATTCAGGTTTTGATACTTGTGTATGCTTCACAAAGTATTCTCATGCTATGTCTTCCAGCTCCATCAGGTCATTTATGTTCCTCTCTAAGCTGGTTATTTCAGTTAGCAATTCCTCTAACTTTTTATCAAGGTTCTTAGCTTCTTTGAATTGGGTTAGAATGTGCTCCTTTAGCTCAGCATAGTTTTTTATTACCTATCTTCTGAAACCTACTTTTGTCAATTCATCCATGTGATCCTCCATCCAGGTCTGTGCCCTTGATGGAGAGACACTGCAATCATTTGGAGGAGAAAAGGCACTGTGACCTTTTGGGTTCTCTGCATTTTTTTTATTGATTCCTTCTTGTCTTCATGAGTTTGTCTAGTTTCAGTCTTTAAGGCCGCTGACTCTTGGATGGGGATTTTGTGTGGGCCTTTTGTTGTTGTTGATGCTGTTGTTGTCACTTTCCGCCTGTTTGTTTTTCTTTCAATAGTCAGGTCTCTCTTCTATAGGGCTGCGACAGTTTGCTGGGTGTTCACTTCAGGCCTTCTTCATCTGATTCACTCCCATGCCTGGAGACGTCACTCAAGGAGGCTGGAGAACAGCAAAGATGGGTGCCTGCTCCTTCTGGGACCTCTGATCTCTAGGGACACCAACCTGATGCCAGTAGAATTGCCCTTGTATAGGGTGTCTGTCAACCCATATTGGAGGGTCTCACCCAGTTGGGTGGCATGAGGAGCAGGACTTGTTTAATGAAGCACTTTGTCCACTGGTGGAGGGGGTGTGCTTTGCTGGGGGGAAATCCACTTGTCTGGGCTGCGCGGATTCCTCATAACTACCAAGAGGAGAAGCTAAGTCTGCTGGTCACAGAGACTATGGCTACCTCTCCTCCTAAGGGATAAGGCCGAGGGAGATCCAAATTCTGTCCCTGAGCCTCTAGCTAGAGTTATTGGAGATCTGCCTCCCTTGGCTGTGGGGAGGGGGTTCCCCTTTCCCATGTGCTCTCAGGCGGGCTTCCATACCACACTGTTCTTCCTTCTCTCCATGAGTCATGCCAGCCTTCTACCTTGTAGTCAGTTTTTCTAAAATTAAGCATTACTATAATTTAATCAAACAATGATAATGATAATCATTCAGAATAATAATCACCGAGATTTGTGCATACTGTCAACATGCATTTGCTCACCAATTCTGCTTGCACTGTATGTCTTCCTTCTAGGGAGTTTTTTAAATGAAGATCTATTGGTCATAAACTAAGAGTTTTACTTTTCTATACATGTCTTTATGTCACACTCATTCGCAAATGACAATTAAGCTAGGTATATGCTACTACCTTTGAGAGTTATTTTCCCTCAAAACTTGGAAAACACTTTTTCTACTGTCTTCTGCCTTCTGCTTTGACTGTTTAAAAGCCAGCTGTTCAATTTGTTATCCTTTGGTAGAAAATTTGTCTTTTGTCACCGGCTATTTTTAAGATCTTCTCTGTGTCTTTGGAGTTCTGCTATTCTGTCAATATATCTAAGTGTGGCTATCTATTTATCTTGGTTTATATAATAGGTTACTGATGTGGTCAAAAAAATTCTTCTCTCCTTGCATCCATATCCTGGCAATGTGATGTCATGCAGCAGCCCTTCAAGAGATGGAGTCTATTTATTTACATGTTGACTCTGGATTTGGCCATATGGCTTACATTAGCAAATGTGATAAAGCAAACAGAGCCTTGAAAAGCATTAGTACTTTAGGGATTACACTATTCCTATACTTGAAATCGTAGGGCTGGTATGTAAACAAGCTGAGCTAATCGACTGGAGATGAGAGACTATGTGGAGGAGAACTGAGGAGCGAGAGTCAACAGCCCGCCAACCCCCAGAGAAGTGAAGAGACTCTCAAATCATCCTGCCACCTGCCAGCATGCTAATTAACCACAGACATGGGAGATGGCATAGCAAGTATCAGCCAGGTAAAAGCAGAAAAAAAATTTGGTTTTTAGACAAAATAAAATGGCTGTTCTGATACCTCTATGTTTTCTAAGTGACTTCTTAGATAGCAATCAGCAACATATACTTTTATTGCATTGTTCTTCCAGTAATGAGAATTAATGTCTCTTACCAAGTTACAAAATTCTTACCCATTAAACTTCTAAGAGTGCCCATAATCTTTATATCTGTTACTATGTGGAATTTTCAAATACATATATATATAATATATATTCTTTGTCTTTCTTAGTTTTTAAATATATGTATATTATATATACAGATATACATACATATACACACATATTAAACAGATATGTAAACTTTTATTCAGATACATGTATCCTTTCTATATTTTAACCTCTTTCCTATTTTCTTCTCTTTATCTCTGAAGGACTACTATTAGTTTTATTACTTTAACAATATTTTCCATTTCACAAACACTCTTAATACCTGTGTCTAATCTACTATTTAGCAGGTTCACTGAGGTTTTCTTTTTTCTTTTTTAACCTCAACAACTATATCTCACATTTTTGGAAGGGCTTTTTAGTTCAACTATCTCTGGGCATTTAGTTCAATTATCTCTAGTCATCATACATTCTTTATTATTTTGATTCTTCAAACATTTTTAACAAGTATTTTTTTAAACTCTTTATCTGTTAATTTCATTTTCTGTATTCCTGTGAGGGTCAATGAGCACTTTTTTGTTTCTTTCCACTGTCACTCATGATGTCTTGAGAACTCCTATTTTATGCACTTAATCTGTGGGCATCCTTTGAGGTCTACATCAAAAGTGACTTTCTCCAAAGATAATTTGTATTTTCTTCATCAGGAGCCCCAAGGTACCCAATCCAGGGCCATTTTAAGATACTTTATTGAGCTTCATGGGTAAAATAATCTGGGTTTCAAGCCTGCAACCCTCCAAGGGCTGTGGTTTACAAGTTCTCTGGAAAGTATTAGTTTTTCTTATCTGGAGATGAGATGTAGACAGGATAGTTTCTGGATTGCTTTCTTCTGCTAGATAATGGACTGGCTTTACTTTTAAAATTTCCATTCCAACTCTCGGTTACGCATGGGGTCTAAGTAATTTCTCCCACCCCACACAGGCGGTTGAAATTCAAGGCTGTAACTGAAATTTTCATAGATTGCTGGTGGAAATACAAAAATGGCACAGCTACTTTGAAAAAATGGTTTAGCAGTTGCTTGTGAATTTAAACATATACTTAATATATAACCCAGTAATCTCACACCTTCACACTTACCTAAGTGAAATCAAAACCTCTGTTCATACAAAAACCTGTATGCAAATGTTTATAGTGGTTCTATTCATAATTGTCCCAAACTGGAAATAACCCAGATACCCATCAACTGAAGGATGCGTAAACAAACTATGATACATTCATAGAACAGAACTGGAATACTACTCAGCAATAGAAAACAATGAACCACTGATACACAAAACAACTTGGTGAATTTCAACATACAAACTGATGTAAATACACACAAACATAAATGACTCCATTTATATAACATTCTGGTAAAGGCAAAACTACAGGATCAGAAAACATGCCAGTGGTTGCTAAAGGCTTCAAGTGAGGAGAAGGGGTGAATACAAAGGGGGATGGAAATTTTTGTAGATAAAGAAATGGTTCTTCATCTCAATTATAATGATGATTATAATACTGTGTAGATTTTCCAAACTTGTGACACTGTACATTAAATGGAATAAATTTTCCTGTATATAAATTACACCTTAGCTTTTTAAAACTAAAAAGAAAGAAATCTAAGGCTCTAAGTTCCTGGTATTGACAGAAACCCCTCTGGCTTTCTCCCCTCTCCTTATATTTGGTATCAAAGGAATTCCTTTTGTATAAGTACAATCCTGAATTTTAAGTTTTTTGTGGTATTTTATTGAGCAGTATAGGCATTTTGAAGCAGACGGATTTTTAGAATAACTAGTCTGCCATATTGCCAGAAGCAAAAGTGTGTCACTTTTTTAAAGAATAAGACTGTCTTTAAATTTCATAGTATTTTTAAGTTTGCAATTCATTTTATCACTGTATCCTCAAGTTTCTGTGAAGTACAATAATGCAGTAAAAAAAAATCTGGATGTAGGGGGTACACATGAAGTTTTATTACATGGGTATATTGTGTGATGCTGAGGTTTGAGGTATGGATAGTCCCATCACTCGGGTAGTGAGTGTGGTACCCAATGGACAGTTTTTCAGCCCATGGCTCCCTCCCTCCCACCTCTAGTAATTCACAGTATCTATTGTTCCCATCTTTGAGTCCATGTGTATTCAATGCTTAGCTCCCACTTAAAAGTGAGAACATGCAGTATTTGGTTTTCTGTTCCCAGTAATGCAATTAAACCAAAGCTCAAGGAAGCAGAGATTGATTTTCATATCTAGACATCTACTCTAAACTTAATTAACATAAAACCTGAGAAGGGAAACCAGTTTGAAGATTATCCTAAATCCTCCAGAATTCGGAGGTCAACATTTTGAAGATAATTTACATTCTGGATAATCCATACCTGGCAGCAGGGTGAACCGGATAACCTTGGGCAAGTCACTTAACTCTCTGCCTGGTTTCAAAATAGCTACTTCACAAATTATTATGACAAGTAAACCAGTATAATCATGTCAAACACATAGAAAAGCATGTGTCACACAGTAAGTGTTCAATAAACATTAGTAGTTATTATGCCATGCCCTTCCCACTAATTAATTATTAACACATCTCCAACACAGAAAATTGAGCATTGCCTATATATAGACTTCAATAGAAAGTTAGCGCTTACTTTGAATAAGCCATGTTTTTGGTTGCGCTGGCCAAGCCATAAATTGATTCCTGGGGGAAGGTTGGTCTCTGGAGGGTCTATCACACGCTCATAAATCCTGTAAAGGCAAAGAACACAGTTACTAATAGGCTCAAAGCAGAACCAAAAGGTACATATGCTGTTTGAAGTACACATGCCATTAGCTGCTATAAGAGAAGCCAATATGTGGCCCATTTTAAATGACAGGTAAACAAACGTAGAGATCTGCTTCCTGACAGTAGTTGGACACATCTGAGCCCCTCCTGCTTCTTTTATCTCCCTTTTGGCAGAGGAGGGAGGAAGAAGGTGACATTTTTTGAGCATCCATGCTGAGCAATGAACTGCCCACAAACTCTGTGGGGAAAGTGGTATGATTCACACATTACAGGTGAGAAAGCTGAGATTTAGGGATCATAAATGAGTCAACCAAGTGAAGCTAGCAGCAAGTAGTAGAGTTGGGATAAGAACCCTTCTGTGCCTGCCTCCAAGGAAACCTACTGTACTTTCCTTCACACCCTGCTACCCTCTGGCTTTGGTTTCTTTAGCGTCTACTCATTTCTGCAGTAACCTGAGAGAACCCTTTAAACAAGTCGATTGCAGCTGCCTGGATGATTATGTTTTTAGTCTACACAACCAAGCAGCTGAAGTTGTCCAACCAAAAAAATATTTATTGAGCATCTCTTATGCTATAGCTCGGCACTAAGCAACAGAAAATAGAGTAACAAACCAGATACACAAGGTCCTACTCTCACGGAGGAGAAGATAAAAATTCTGTATATGAAGAAAATCCTCATTTGATCCATACAGGCACATAACTAATACAGAAGAGGTCAGGGCCCCATCATCTTTGAAGGTTCTAACAGAGCCTACCGAACAATTAATGTATCAGTTATTCCACCCTATCAAGGTCCAGTTCATGAATCACAAATCTTTTTATTTTTGCCCTCTTTAGTCCCTGCCCCCACCAGCTGATCACAAGCTTCCACCTCACCCCTGGCAAGTACTTCTCAGCACCAGATGCTTAGAAGATTCTGGGTGGGGTGAGATATAGTGATCTGTAAATGAGAGATATGTCCATTTCTTGGTTTCCTCAGTTCTCAGTGAACTGCTGCGGAATCATTCTTAGGTGTGTCCAGAGGTATGGACAGCTCATCATTCCTCCCTGCTGTGATGGAGCTGACCGCCTCCTGCCAGAGGGTGACATATTCCTCTGGTGGTGCTCACAAGGAAAGTGCAGAAGAACTGAAAGACTGTCCACTTGTGTCAAGGAAAGTAAATGATTGTGAGGCTGCTGCAGTTGGGAGCTGTCAGGCTGCAGCCTTCTATCTTCACTGCACAGTCCATTACTCTACTATTCCCCACTGGAAACCTGCTGTTTCTTAACAATACATGCAAGGTTTTCATCTGGCAATGCTCCAGGCACATCAGGTCTTTCTCTACTAATTATCTTTCCATTATAAGTGAAGGCTCAAGACCAAATCAAGGAAAAATAAGTTTCCCTTAAAAAAAGACAGAATGCATTTTCTTCACAGGAATCTAACTTTTTTTTATCTTAGAAGGAATGATTTTAGATGAAACCATTTGTCAAAACTGCCTTAACACAGGAGCCTGTTATATACTTCCTTTTTCTTTTCCTAATATTAGCGGAAAAACTAGAAACAGGGCAAATTTACAGCATAAGAGATATGCATAAGTTATAGATCAGCTTGAAAGAATTTACTGCAGTCATTAAGTGTGATGAATATGCAAGTTATGAAACAAGATAAAGTATATACAAAATAATTTTCACTGGAAAATAGGGAATGCAAAATTATTTAAACACTATAGAGATAATGATGCACAAATGATGTTCAATGTTGGTAAATACCAGAAGAGGCCAGAGAGAAATGGAAATCACTGTATGTAGGTGACAAGGCAGACGCATAATTTCTATAAGGTTATTTTACTAATAAATTGAAAATGTCAAACCATTTACCTTAACCTCAATTTTAAAAATTTTGCCTCTGTCACAGTTTGACGAGCTTTCAATTCAAAAGTTTCTTTTAGATATTCAATATGCTAGAAGATGAGCTCCAACGAGCAGAGTATGCCCTTAATCAATGTTCATTAAATGCATGAATGAATGAAGAAACAATCAAAGACATCAACTTCCTATCCTACCTTATCTTCCAAAGCATAATAGTTCTGTGTGCCTTAGGAATAAAGAAGCAAACATCTGAGGCCCACCACCATCAGCTTAAGCAGGGTGACCCAAGGCACATGTGTCAAAGTGGTGTTCTCATTTCCCATGTCATGCAGCCCCCCACAAAGACGCCATCCTGATGCCAAGGAAGGTCTGCTGGATGCTGCCTTCCTGGCAGACCTGCCAATCTGTTCCAAGAGGTAGTCTGCATTAGGGAATTCTGTGCAGCAGGTGGAATCAACAAACTGGATACAGATGTATCAACATGAAGAGAGTTTAAAAACAAAGTATTTTTTTAAATGAAACCTTACTGAGAAGGAAGGGAGGAGGACCAAATATAATCATGAAGAAACATCAGACAAACCTCAATTGAAAGATAGTCCACAAAAAAAAAAACAAAACAAAACCAAAAAAAAACTGCTGGTGGTCTTTAAAATGTCAATGTCATGAAAAACAAAGAAAGGCTGAACAACAGCTGGAGATTAAAAGAGATTTTAAAAAGACATAAGAGCTAAATGCAAGATGTAATCCTGGATTAGATGCTAGGGCGGGGAGAAATGTCCCATAAATGACATTACTGGGAAAATTTGAATAAGATCTGTAATAGTATAAAATACGTAATAGTATTTCTTGATTTTGTTAACTGGGCAGTATATACTTGTTCTTAGGAAACGGGCACTGAAGTATTTAGGGGTAGAGGGTCATGATGTTTGTAACTTAACTCTCAAAGGGTTCAAAATAATAATACTGTGTGTACATATAAGTACACACATCTAGGAATACACACTTTCTCTTCCCTCCAAAGTAATGCAGCAAATACGATTGTTTCTTGTATCACTCTTGTAACTTTTCTGCAAGCTTAAAGTGATGTTAACATTAACAGTGTTAAAAATAGAGAAAAAACAACATGGTCCATAATGTATGTAAACTAAAAATTCACACATGCAAAACAATATTATCTATTAGCTAAGGATACTCAGATTTTTCCTATCATGGGCCTGGTGGGAATGGTGAGGCAAGAAAAAAGTGAATGAATGAAACAAGAAAGGTGCATGGCACAGACTAATGCTGGTAAGATAACACAAACTAAGAAACAGAATTATCACATTCCCCCATGTACCCCTATGGAAGAGGAGATACACATGCCAGGTAAGTAAAACCAAAATCTTAGCACAAAGGCTGCTGGTCCCTGAGGTCCAGTTTGGGTGGACTGGATCATTTAAAAAGGCAGGTAGGGCACAGTGATCTGTCACTTAAATCTAGTGTCACCAAGTCAACTAAAATGAAAAGTCAAAGCTAATATAGTGAATTCCTTGCTCTCCAGTATGGTAGGCAAATATAACTTTCTGATATATAGGGTATTCTGGTTAATGAGGTTTCCTTCACATCAGAAAATATCTGATTGCCTACAATGTGTATGACATTATACTGTACTGTGCTGTGCTGGCTATAGGGATACACAAAGGCATATTTAAATGTCCAAGTTCATGTCCTTAGATCTAACGCCTGAGACAGACAACATGCATGGACACACCTTATAATTTTTTTTTTCTTTTTTTTTTTTTTCCGAGACAGAGTCTCACTCTGTCACCAGGCGCCAGGCTGGAGTGCAGTGGTGCAACCTTGGCTCACTGCAACCTCCGCCTCCTGGGTTCAAGCAATCCTGCTACCTCAGCCTCCCGAGTAGCTGGGACTACAGGCATGTGCCACGATGCCCAGCTAACTTTTTTGTATTTTTAGTAGAGATGGGGTTTCACCATGTTGGCCAGGATGGTCTCAATCTCTTGACCTCGTGATCTGCCCACCTCGGCTTCCCAAAGTGCTGGGACCTTATAATTTAATGCATTATATTCAATGTTACCTGGAAGCAGAAAGGGGAAGAAAAATAAAAAGAATTATGCCTGCCACAGTCAGAGGAAACTTTCCAAAGGAGACAGTATACTGAGTTTTGAATGAAGAATAAAGTAGAGCTGAAAGAGCAGACATACCAGTCAGCACTTAAACAAGACTTAACCGTGTTCCAACATTGCATATTGAGTGCTTTCAATATATTAATTTACTAAATCCTCAAAACAACACCCTCAGGTGGGTGTTCTTGGCTTAGCAAGATCAAATAACTTGTCCATGGTTAAGCAGTTGTGAGTGACACAGCTAGGATGTGAAACCAGATCCTACAGTCTGTGCTATTGGCCACCTTCCTCTACTGTCTCTCTAGACAAGCAATGAAGGGCAGTTCCAGTCACAAAGGCCCCATTCGAGCTACTATCTATTGAAGAGTTAAAATACAGGAAAACGAAAATAGTAAATGATATGGGAGAATTTTTAAATCAGCTCTGAACAGGAGAGGACATGATCAATATATCCTGGGTGTCCTCCTGTCACAGGCTGGTTTTTTATTTTCTAATAGAAAAATGTGAAAACCTAACTCACTCAAATAAAGCAAAATTACTAACTTGATTTACTTATCAGAAGGAAAAGGGGAAACAAGTTCATATGTCAAAGCAAGAAGGCAAGACCAGTCAGCTCTCCTGGAACCCACATTGTTTTTCTTCTAGATTCACAGTTATACTACACTTTCCAGCCATCTCCTTGAAGTTGAGTGTGGCTATGGACTGGGAGTGGAAATACTGCGCCCCACTCCTAAGCCTGCCCCACCACCCCACCAAAAGATAATTTTAAAACTCCCTCAGGTATCTTCTATGCTGTCTGTTTTGCTTTATCTCTTTTCTCTTTCTCCCTTTTAGCTGCCTGGAGAAGACTCTGAGGGCTAAAGGGTGGACAGAGCTACAAGACAGAGAATCGTGAATCCCTAAACAATGACATCAAAGGCCACCTGTCAGCTAGACACACTCAACTGGATTCTATTTAAATGAGAAATAAAAGTCCACTATGTTAAG